AAGAAAGCTCGTGTCATGTATTGCCTTTCAAACCTAGAACCCGCTAGTATGCCGGAGAACCCTGTCTTCAAGGATTCGTTTAATGTGGTCCATATTGATGAAAAGTGGTTTTATCGTACAAGGAAAACCCAGGGGGTTTATTTGGGCATTAACGAGCCGAACCCCGTGAGGCACGCCAAAAACAAGGGACACATTGAGAAGATCATGTTTCTTGCTGCTGTTGCTAGGCCAAGATATGATATGCAAGGCAATTGTACTTTTGATGGTAAAATTGGAATTTGGCCCTATGTTGAGTGGAAACCGGCACAGAGGAGAAGCCCAAACAGGCCTAGAGGAACGTTGGAGCTCAAGCCATGCGATAAAGTCGGCATGGAGAAGAGCCGGGAATACTTGATCACGAAGGTGTTGCCGGCAATCAAGGAGAAGTGGCCGCAAGAGGATCGGTACAAGCCTATTTTCATCCAACAGGACAATGCCAAGACACATGTTCGACCAGATGATCCGGCGGTGTGTGCGGCAGCTGCTCAAGGTGGTTGGGACATTAGGGTTGTGATGTAGCCACCTAATTCTCCGGACACTAACGCCCTAGATCTTGGCGTGTTCAACTCTCTTCAGTCCGCGTTTTCCCTTCTCTTTCTCACGGTTCATTCTATCCATATACCTCATCATCTTAGCGAACGAACCTACCAATGGAGGCGGTATTGTTACTTCATCATCTAGCATGTCTACCCACGCAGGAGCACGGCCGAATGCAGTCCTCCTTGGCACCACGAATCCCTCCTCCCTGCCGAGCACACCCGGTCGCTGGTTCACCAATGCCGTGGCGTCGTCGACGAGCGCCGTGACGGTGTCCATGAGAGCCTCCACCTGGTCCAGCAGCGCCCCAAGGTCTGGACCCTCCTGGGCGAGCGCGAGGATGCCCTGCGCGACGTCGAGCACGTCGTGGGCATGCGCGAGGATGCCCTGCCCCACGTCCAGCACGCCGCGCTGCATGTAGCCATCATGTAAAGACAAGGGTGGAGCATGCATCGTTTGCTATTCATCCTACAAAAGCTAAGTACCATGGCCGGCCTAACTGCACCGACTAAACATCACCATGATCCCTGGATAAGGCATGCATACATACCTGCATGTCCTGGACGCCCAAGCCCAGCTCCGCCTGGGTCTCCGCGTCGGGAGCGACCTTCATGTCGTGCTCGGCCTGCGGCGCATCATGGACGCCGAGGTCTGCGTGCCCAGCAGCGACGAGGTCTGGCAGTGGCGCGCCTAAGCCCAGCCCGGACTGGGTCTCCGCGTCCGGATCGACGTCCACGCTGTGCTCCGTCAGCGACGCACCATGGACACCGAGCTCTGCGTGCCCAGCAGCGGCGAGGTTGGTCGGCGACGCGTCCAAGCCCAGCCCGGACTGGGTCTCCGCGTCCGGATCAACGTCGACGCTGTGCTCCGCCTTCGGTCGCGACGACATGCTGGTACGGCGCTGCATCCGGCCGGTGAGACGCTGGTTTCTTTCCTGGGACTACTGTTGTGGTGTTGTGCTAGGAGTACTAGTCCGCTCAATGTATAGCAGCTTCTTCTGCATGCCAGCGGTTGGAAATTTAATGCGCTTCGGAAGATGAACCGCGGCTGAGGAGATCGAGAAAGCAACGAAGCGTTTTCTGCTTTTGGCAGCCATATCGATTAAGGGGCCTAATAAGAGCGGACGAGCTCCCTCCGCCCAGGGGCCCAATAAACCCGGACGGAGGGAGTAGTAACTTAGCTAGTTACTGTAACATCACATGTCCCAATGCAATATGAGTCTATAACCTAATAAATGAAGCTTTGCATGTTACTACACTTATATTACTATGGAGGCCAACGTTTGGTCTACGGGGACATGTGTCCCCGTTATCCAAAGCATCAATAACTGCATCGTGATTGGAAGATAAAGTAGCGTTCAAGACAATACGGCTGGAGGGAATAGTTGGATAGAGGAATATGCAGCAGACGTACAGTGATGTATCGGCGGTCGCACAGGTCGGTACAGGATCTTGCCGACGGACGACGCGTTTTTGATGGACCTGTGATCAATGGTGTCCTGCTGCAACACGGCAACTTTTTGGAGGATCGAAGTCTTTGTCAGAGGAAGACCTTAGCCGGCGTCAATTTAATTGATCAGAGCCCTGGCGTCAATTTAGTTTAGTTCGTGCGCAGGTCTGATTTGCGATGTCTTGACCCGGCAGGAACAAAAATAAATTAAGGTAATACGTATGATTAATAAGTTGAATAAAGTAGGACTTATGTATATTATTTGAGTATAAGCTAAGAAAAAAAACAGTTAGTTGGATAACTTAGGGTTACAAAATAAGTAACTTGGGACTGTCGTTTTTGTATTCGCAGTAGCGAAATCTAATGTTTTGAAAACAGATGAATGTATCGATTGAGTGGACCTGCAAATGGCAAATGGCAGTTTAAACAACTAATTTGGGGGATTTCGAAGCAGTGACAGCATCCAGGGGGCCACATCTTATATGCTTACCGACCAGTTTTTATAATATGCTTCGAGTAGTAGTCATGTTATTGTCAAGAGCAGTACCACACGTCTACAGAAATCATATGTACCCACCGAGTAATCAATCCGATTATCACTAACGTTATAAATTTGTCTGGATGGAGTAGCTGCTTAAATGCGAACCCGTGCAGCATCACGAGGCGGTTTGAGTACTGCTTAAAAAATGGATCAAACAGCTTATCAGCTTATCAGCGAGTAATAAATCTAGTTAAGTAAATAACAACACAGTGCCTCACGCCTTAAAAGATGCTTGTGTACTGCGGCATTCTGACGTGCAGAGTGGACAGTACAGATATGGTTGGGGAGGTAGCCGGTGCTTAAATGCGAGTGGGACAGGGTCGGCACAGGTGGGAACGAATCCTATACTTGAACTGCTGGTACAGGTAAAGTGGAAATACAAAAGTTGACGAGGTCAAATACTAATAGGCACGGCCGGATGAGATTCCGGGGCAGATGTCCCCGGGAACCATTGGGTATTTCCCATGCTACTATTCACTATGAAGATAGTAACATAGTTTAGGGATATGTGTATATTACTACTACCTTCGTCCTGGTTTATAGGTCCTCTTTGTAGTTTGTGCCAAATTTTGACTAAAGATTTAACTAACAAAATGTTAATGCATGTCAAGAAAAATTATCTCATTGGATTCGTATTTGAACATAGTTTTCAAAAATATAATGTTTGATGACATGCATGAGCATTTTGTTAGTTTAATCTATGATCAAAATTTGGCACGAAATACAATGGGGACTAATAAATCCGGACGGAGATAGTAGTGTATGTTACTCACCATTGTGGCTAGTCTAAAGACATGAGAGAGAAAGAAGCGAGCGCTTCGTCAATCGCTCGGCTGCATCACAAGGCGCGAGGACGTTACGCCCGCTTGCAACCAGTAGCTGGCGCTAGCAAGGCTGCTCCCGATTCCCTCTGTCCCACCATCCAATCAACTGCTTTTTCTTTTCTCCTCTTGCATGTAGACATTAATTACTCTAGTCATCCAGCAGCTGGTATAGAGCCAACGTTATTAGACGAGACTACTTGTACACCGGCTATTGCTGAGATGGCACCGATATAGGGCTAGCAGCGGGCGATTCTATTAGCCATGCTCTTACATAGGTGTAGCAAAGCCCTTGTCTACATAGATGTAGCAAAGCCCCTGTCTAAAATTCTCTCACGGTCTCACCCTCTAAAAAAAATGCTAAACCTACCGGGTGTTCTCTATGGAAGGAAGCTTACGGGCCTGGTCTCAGTGATTGTCCTGAATTTCATTGTGCCCTTGCCACCTCGTTCCGTACCTCAAATTTGGTTCTATGATTTATCCGAAGGTGTAGCAAAACATCTAAAATTACTGTCAATATACAGTTTTGATCCACTCTAGCAAATTATGTGCCCCCTATCCATAATTTTAGAAAGTTCAGAAGTGAGCCTTGCTCACTCGATCAGGGCCAGGGCTGTTAACCTAGCTACCGAAGTTCAAGTCGCTACCGACGCTAGTTTGGGTTCTTATTATTTTGAAGAATGAAAACGCTGGTGCCTTCCTCACTGCTTTCCTTAAAAAAAAGAATTATTTGCACCTGTGTCTGAATTTGAAACTTCTCTTGTTGTGGCCTATGTGAATGTGTTTGGTGTGTGTACAAACATGAGGAATGCAGTTTGAAATTGTCACATTTTTTAGTTTCCGTATAAAAATCACTATTTTATGTATTTAGTATTAAATATATAAAAACATACCCCTTGTCTTCCTTGACTAGCTGACTAACACCAGTGCTATGGGATGTGAAAATGGATTCTCCATCAGTTTACAGGGTTTCTCAGTCAATGAGCGCCAACGCCACTCAATAGTAATTGTTTCAGGATATGAAGCTTAATTATATTTCTCTTTATTGGAGAACAACATGGATCGAACATCCAAAGCATCGCCGTATCACACAATACTGCCCCGCACCATCTGATCAAGTATTGTACCCATCAGGTCACACGATGAAAGCACAGTAGTGATGTGCGGTTGGTTACTGCCATCACGTGGTAGCAATGCGAAATTGTGAAAATTAACCCGTGATGTTTAACTTCCCTCATGCCCTAGGTGATCAACCGTCAAGTCCACAACATCGAATATGTTGTTTAGCTTCTCAAATCCTTGCTTTCAAGTGATCATTTTCTCAATATTTTTTATTTCTCAGTGTCACCCACATGCACAAGTGCCCGATTCTTCCACACATTTATTTGAAATCGAAACTAAATGCATAAATTTTGCAAATATCTTATCAAAACTACTCCGCTTAAGACAAACCTACTTAAGCACCAGAAATTAAAGTACACATTAGGCAAAACAAGTAACATGCGTTACTTGACTTAAAAGACTATGATCACAATCCACCCAACGCTGACATATGAGAAGAATAAATGCCCTAACAATCCTCATAATGCCTTTTTCGACTTACATGCATGCATCTACCACTTCCCAAGCCGGGAAACGAATAATGCTAGCCAGTCCATCTCCAACAACACGACCTTCTGACGGTTAAGCCCATAGAAACCATCAGGCAACTCAAACTGCTCCATCACTCCTGTCTCAAGATCAGCGATGTAAATCTGCCGCTGGCTATCTTTGAGTAGCATCGTTCCACTCTTCTCTCCTAACAATCTTAGGTATATTTTCTCTGGCCTTCTTTTAATCAGCCTAGGTGGTTTCAACTCTAAAATGCGCGTGGTGAGCCACGCGGCTTTGACAATAGCACCATCCTCACTCTTTTTTTCATCTTGCCACGTGCAGATCTTTAGCTCGAGGCCTGGTCTTGACAGAAGTAACACGAAGGGCGTCCCATCGGTGGTGACCCCAAGCTGTGGGTCCTCGTTGGTTTCCGTGTAAGTTGTCCTATCCATGATCATTGTGTGAGAGATGTGAAGCGTCTCCATGTCCATGTCAAGAGAGTAGTCGGGGTACCATATCCGGATGCTACAATGCACCTTACCGCGAGACACAATGGCGTCGGGATGCTTATACTCACGGATCCCCCTAGCAGTGTCAAAAGTTAATTTTATAGGCTTACTCCACATTGACTTGCTGGATGAGAATGTGTAGAGCCTGGGCGGGCCGAAATACATCGTGCCGATGATTAGCACTTTAAAGAAGGTCGAGTAGCCCGGTTGCCAAGACAGTTGCTCTACGCTCGAGGAACCATCTGCATTAGTTAGGATGGCGTAGCCGCTTTTGTTGAAATCCAAATGTTCGCATAGTGGGGGAAGCACGTCGCACACGCCGGCGAGCAGATTGCATACAGCCAGATGAATGGCGGACTTGTCGTACTGGTAGCCAGCAGGTGGGTCCGAGAAGAGGCGCACGAGGAGGAGGCCGGAGCGCGCGGTTAGCGGTTCCGCGCCATCGAGAAGGCATGGATCAACATCGGGGAAAAAGGAGCTGAGGGAGCGGCGGGCGAACACTGACCGCTGTGTTGGGATGAAAAACGTTGCAAACATGGGGTCCCCTGTCCGGAAGGTGGGATCCGTACGGTCGAGCCGTTTTGGGGCGAAGAAGCCGGCGAGGAAGCGACTGGCCCCATGATCATCTGGCCAGCGACGGCGAAGGAAGGAGGCGTCGGCTACGAGGCGGCTCCATCGCTTGCACGTCATGGCGCAGCGAAAGAGAGCAGCCACGCCCTCCACGCGGGCGAGGATCTCGCGGATGGCGTCCTCCGGGAGCGACACCTCCTCCGCCTGCGCCGCCGCCCTCTCCACCATCTTTCGATCTGTAGCTTGATCGCGTCTGCGACGTCTGTGTGCGCGTGGACGAGGAGCGAGATCCGGTCCAGGTTATGTACGTACGTGATGTGTCAAGCTAATTGATTCCGGCCGTAAGTCAAGTCCCGATCGATTCCGTTACAAATTGTTGTTTCGTACTAATTGGTCAGTCCAACATGTTGCATGGATTGTGCTCGCGGGATTTCGTCCCGGTCGCCGCGTCATTCACCGTCCATATACGGCACAGAGTCGACCTGCGCCTCCCTCCGACGGCCGCTGCACTGCACGACGGAGGCAATACTCTCTCACGCTAGCTGCACCTGTTTAAACCCGCCCACCGTAACGGAGTTGGACGCCTCCCAAGGCCTCCCGCCATGGATGACCCTCGACACAAGGGTGTACCTTGCCGACCGCCACAACTCCACCACGGCGGGAGCCGAGACAAGCAAAGGCCGCGCCGTCCAGGTCTCCATCTGCTTGGGGCACCCACCGGCCCTCTCCTACGTGTGCATCCACTGCCCCGGCCTCCAGCACGCCAACTTCGCCGGCGAGCCACGCGTTGTCCGCTCGGAGAAGCAGTTCCTTCTCCTGCACCTGCCACTCAACTGGTCCACCAGGCTCGTGCGGCGGTCCAGTGAGTACTACATGTACCAGGCTGTTCCGGGTAGACCACCGTCGCTCTCCCGGATTCCGGACCCGCCGGGTCGTAGCTTCCTTGTGCCACGCGATCTTGGCATTCACTGTTGCGGCGACGATGGGGAGTACATCCTGGCTGGTCTGTGCCCGAGTCATGATGATGCTCAAGGAGGGTATGAACTTCACCTATACTCGTCGGTGTCGAGAGCATGGACCAGGAAACCTGCTTATCTGGAGAAACCACCGATTGAGGAGCAGCTTCCTGTTGCGTCGCACAAGGTAATCCCCCTTGGAGGGAGCCTGCTAGGCTGGGTCGATCTTTGGAGGGGTATTATGGTGTGCGATGTGCTCTCTAATGAGACTTATGCGCGCCTGTGGTTCGTCCCACTTCCTGGCCTGATGCGTGGGAACAAGGATGATTGTCATTTGTGCCCATGGGTCATCCGGGACATCACTTGCACCAATGGATCGCTCAAATTAGTCGAGATCGAACTTGTTTCTATATCCCCAAAAAGCAATCAAGGCACGGCAGAATATCTTCCGGATGAAACTTGTGATGATTCATCCTTTGTGAAACAAAACAATGATTTGGATGCGATGGAGCCTCAAAAATTAATTGGTTGGAGGTCCGTCATATGGAAAAGATTCCTTTCAGACGACGGTTGGCGCAGGGGGTGCCTGGTTCATGGTGAAGACATATTGGTTGTGAACCCAGACCATTCTGCTTTGTTGGCTGAGCTTGGGGACAACACTGCTGGTAACTCATCAATAATGAACTTGTTACCATCTTTCCCCACCTTGAGCATCAATGGTGATGATGTTGTCCACATTAATTGCTTGGTGAGGTTAGACATCAAGAAAGCGCAAATGATCTCTATTGACATGAGAAATAAAACATCGAAGACAATGGTACCATGTCCTGTTGCTGAACTGGATGACCAGTGCCCCCACTTCCTTTGCGTGTTGTCAAAGTATCTGAGCAACACTCCAGCTTTGCGACAGATTGTACAAGCAAGAAACTCTAGAACTGTAACCGAAAATCAACAACTCAGGTCTTGTGCTCAATATGTCATTGATATGCCAAATCGAGCTCAGGATTCTTACCCACAAATCGTACAGGCAAGCCACTCCGTAAACGTGACTAGAAATCGAAGCCCGAGTTCTTGTGCCCAGGAAGTAGTTATTGCGCCAAGTCGAGCTTGGAATGGTGGGTCGAACTTGACATCCCATCAAAGCTTCGGCTTGTTGGATACATCAACTACTAGGTACAATGGGAGTCACATTGGGTCTGCTGATTGCACACGCTCAGGCTATGTCAACTATCAGCAGGCATTGCCATTGCAGCATCAATCAACATTCCAACCTAACTCGGTACATCTTGCCGGTCGGATAGCATCAGGCACAATGAACGCTCATCCAGCATACCCCGTGGTTAACCCAGCCGCCTTTGGACGAATGGGGCATCCGTTCTTGCTGAATAACTACCGCCCGTTTCGTCCTCCAGCACAGGCTCCTGAGCTACCAATGCCAAGCACACTGTCAATACCTACTGCAGTGGGCAGCCACTTTGTTCGTGGCAGCAGGCGCCCTAGGGCTCATCGAAACTCACCCTATGAACGGCCGTCCAAATGATTTCGCAAGCCAGTGAGGGCTTTTACTAGGTGGTGCACTTATGAAGACCTTTACTAGGTGGTGTGACCACATTGTTACAATCGGACCATATCGTGATAATCTCATGTGTTACTATTTAAAATATCTTAGTTACAAGCATTACAACAACCATAGCTGATTCCCTATTCACCTCTCTCTTTTAAAAAATCTACCAAAGTCTAGGCGGCAAAAAAGCAACGCCGGAGCTCCCGGTCTAATGGCGCCAATTTCTGTTGTCCCTTCTATCATAGTTGACAAAGGCATGTTTCCATTTCCTTGCTGCTCCGGCGAACTTGAGGGCGGTCATGGCGACCGACGGCTTTCAGCATCTGAGCACGAGCTGCCCTTCTATCATAGTTGAGTTCATGGCCATGTCATTTGGCGCATTAGCTGAGTGATCGATGTAGAGTATCATGTACTCGTAGCAAATATAATGTGGTTCATGGTTTCTAAACTAACTAATGATCAAGGTTGTTGTCTTATATACTACTCTCTCGTCTCATAATATAAGACGTTTTTGCAAACTAACATACTAGTATAAAAAATGTCTTATAATGTAGGGCGAATGGAGTACTGTTCAGTATGAGATGCCAAATGCCTAGCCTCATTTCGCCTTTTTGAGTTTTGGTGATAGTTTACCACACAACAGGCCATGTGGTATTTCGCCCCGGTTTTATCATTTCATTAATCTATGCAATATGCAAGTTACTATAACGGTGCACAGTCTTTCATTCTCGTTAATTTTGATGTGCCCTTCCCTTGCCACCTCAGTCCTAACTTTAACTTTGTATGCTGATTTAGGTGTACGAAAACTCCAAAAAATACTGTCACTATACAGTTCTGATCCACTCTAGCAGATTAGCGGATTCTTATGTGCCCATATTCATAATTTGTACTCCCTCCATTTAAATGAATGAGGCGCACATGCACCACAAAAATGAACGTTGACCATAAATTAGACCAACCAAATGTGGGATATACGTAATAAAAATTGTATAATTGTATTGGTATTCGGTGCATGGCTGTCGTCAGCTCGTGCCGTAAGGTGTTGGGTTAAGTCTCGCAACGAGCGCAACCCTCGTGTTTAGTTGCCACTATGAGTTTGGAACCCTGAACAGACCGCCGGTGTTAAGCCGGAGGAAGGAGAAGGTGAGGCCAAGTCATCATGCCCCTTATGTCCTGGGCGACAAACGTGCTACAATGGGTGGGACAAAGGGTCGCGATCTCGCGAGGGTGAGCTAACTCCAAAAACCAGTCCTCTGTTCGGATTGCAGGCTGCAACTCGCCTGCATGAAGCAGGAATCGCTAGTAATTGCCGGTCAGCCATACGGCAGTGAATCTGTTCCCGGGCCTTGTACACACCGCCTGTCACACTATAGGAGCTGGCCATGTTTGAAGTCGTTACCCTTAACCGTAAGGAGGGGGGTGCCTAAGGATAGGCTTGCGACTGGAGTGAAGTCGTAACAAGGTAGCCGTACTGGAAGGTGCGGCTGGATCACCTTCTTTTCAGGGAGAGCTAATGCTTATGCTTATTGGGTATTTTGGTTTGACACTTCTTCACGCCCAAAAAGAAGGCAGGGTGAAGTAAGACCAAGCTCATGAGCTTATTATCCTAGGTCGTAACAAATTAGTTGATAGTGATAGGATCCCTTTTTTGGCGTCCCCATGTCCCCCCTATGGTGTGGCGGCATGGGGATGTCAAAAGGAAAGGGATGGAGTTTTTCTCACTTTTGACGTAGCAGGCCTCCCTTTGGGAGGCCCGCGCGACGGGCTATTAGCTCAGTGGTACACTACTAGGGAAAAGCCTAGCAGCAGCGCGAGTTTTGGTCCTATTAGCAGCGCGGGGGCCGGTGCTACTAATAAGGCGCTACAGCTAACGTATAGCAGTAGCGTGGGTGCCACCCGCGCTACTACTACGTCCTTTAGTAGTAGCGTGGGTAAAAACCCGCGCTACTACTATCAGCGCGGGTTTTTTTGAATTTTTTCGAAAAAATATTTTGATTTTTTCCCTAATTTTCAAATTTCTGAATTATTTTAACCTCAAATCTCTAATCACCCCTCATCATTCCAAATCATTTAACTTCCCGAACGGTCACCCATCCTCTCACTACTCCAGCCTGAGCACGCTTAACTTCCGAGTTCTATTCTCCCTCGTTTCCAAGTCTGCACTTGTTGTTTTCCTGACAATAGTAAGATGCCAATCCTATTAACCTCAGGAATTTAGCTTGAGCATGAAGTCACACATTTCACTATTTGAGTTTGAAACTATTGTTCTAAAAAATTAGTAACACTAATATTTCTTGAATAATTAGTTTGACCACAGTTTGGCCATAGTTTGACCAGATTTGACCAAAATTCAAAAAAACTAAAATAATTATTTAGTAACACTAATATTCTAGAATAATTAGTTTGACCATTGTTTGACCACAGTTTGACCACATAGTTTGAAATTTTTTCGATTTTTTCCACTCTAGATCTTAAAAGCCCCGTAACTTTTTTTCTGTTTGGTTTTTGAGGATTTTGAAAATGTTTAATGGGGTTCCCCCGATTAAATTTGGATGTAACTTTTCGAGTAGATGATTTTTCATATGAAAAACTTTTTCATC